TTTCGGTTTTAATTTAATTTTTCAACAATTTTCGAGTTCGAATTGATTGTTAAAGATTGTAGGAGTATAGGCATATGACTTTTTTAAACAATAAAAGTTGACTATTTATCATCAAAATAATATTAAAATGTAAAAGTTTGGCGTTAGAGCTACTTTTATCCAATCAAGTTTAACGTCAAAAACGAATAGAAATCACTTAAATGCTTCAATTTTTTGAAGGCTACACAAAAGACCATCCAAGTTACCCATGTACTCTTTATCATGAAGAGTTTTAAGAGATAACTTATTTTACACACGTAACTAAAATAAAATATTTCAAGTAGTTTCTGGAGATTTTATTATCAACGATAAAAATAATTTGTCGAACTAATCATATTAGCTGCAATCCACCAAGACAGCGATCATTAACACCACCACCAGTGATAACTTCATATTTGCTAAATACCATTCGCTGCTTGTTATTACAACTGGATACTTCTACTCACTATTATTTGATATTTCTTACTATCATTTACTACTACTTACTATCACTGCTAATACTAACTATTACTATTACTATTTACCATTATTATCACTTATTTATTACTGCTATTTACTTACACTTACCTCCACTTCACCAACTATTATCATTTATGATTACTTACTACTACATCGTTAATAACAACTAAAATTGGATCTAAATTCTTTATTAATTTTCTTACTGGTTATATAATTTCCCGTGGAAATCGCGATTCGTTCTTTACTTAATTACACTATTTCAACTTTATTTCAAAAAAATTCAGTGAAATCTAGTTTACTCATGCACAACACTATTCGTCAAGGTCACAATTACAAGTATTGTAAGTCAGAAGATGAATAATGCTTGATAATCAAATAAAGGAGCAAAAAGCTTGAAAAGCTATTAAGCAATCAGAAGCTTATATTGTTAGCAAAAAAATAACATTAAGATCCGTAGTAATATGATGATTATAAATAACATAATCAATCCAATTTATTCAGTAAAAATCAACTTAAATTGTTTATCTTCAATATTACACTTGAAACGTCTTCGTACTGCGCATCCCAATTTGCGAGCATTTCAATTTAGAAGAGAAACTAACTCAATTAGATACCAGAATATAATCATATAATGGCATGAAATAATAATATAAGATATCATGAAGTTTTAAGTTAATGCTCAAAAATTGCTTTTTAAGTTTCGGATATTTTGAAAATAAAACAAAAATATAGGGAGTTGATATTAAAAAACTAAATAAATTTAATAGAAATTAAAATACGAAATAGAATGTAAATTTCCAAACGTCCGTTCACATTTATGCACTTCTGTTATTACATGCACAAGAGATGTCAACTACAGAGAGTTATATGTACATGTGCAATATGTATGAAGCTATTTTTCAATTCAGTAAGTGATTCATCTGAGATTGATTGTTGATCTATCCAAAATTATTATTCTAAGATATCGTTTTGACTTGCAGTAACGTTAATATAATTCATTCAGCGAAAATTTGCAAATTTTACCCACACCAATTCCCATCATGCAACAGTGTTTCTGTACAGAATATTAGTCGACTCCAAAAATCTTGCATTACACTGAACATTACTTCTGAAATCTGATAAATCATTGATTTGAATAACCTTACAGTGATTTCCCTTGAAATTTGCCATTAATATAAATTCTGGCAGTCCTTTCTCTCGCGCTGTTCTTTAAAATACCAGCAGCTTAATTATTAATAGTTTGGAATTATGACGACACAACATATTTCTACAAAGAAGCAGTGGATTAGTGCTGAAAAATAATTTTAAGAATAATTTAGGAATAAAATCGAAAAATTCTTCAACAGCAGCAAACTGATACTCACTCACAGTACCGACAATTCAACCAGCTGCAAAGTAATATTTTAAGTAATTTTAAGTAGCTTTTCTGCTTTTCTTTCGTTTTTTAAAATTATTTCACTCATTCACCTTTTGTTACAGATTTTCTAGTCGCAGAAAACCATAAACCATAACAGCATTACTGAGCCCATTCCTTCATTTGATTTCATTAATACAGGCTCCCAATTGATCCGTCTGGTTTTTTTATTTACAGAATCACAATTCCGACACATTTGCTCAGAAATTGTATTGAAGTCGAATAGATAGTTCTTCATATTAGTGATCAACACAATAAAAAACCGTTGACCTTTAGAAATGCTCCGATTCATTTTGTATTCCAAATGAATTTAACTGTAAAGTAAAAAAAATCGATCAAAATGAAAATTATTGTAGGACTTGTAAGTGTAGAAATATTACTGAAGCATTTAAAAAAATCATAGATTAATCTTTTCATCTTCCAATTTTCAAATGCAAAATTAGTTGATAGCTATTCATCCACAGTCTCATCAATACCTTTGACTGCACAAACGCCCAGCTAGGTAGTAACCTAATGAGTAATGATCTAAAGTGCAAGGGACAAACTACGGTGTAATCTGCCTATAAATTCCAGCCAATATTACTGCACAATATGATTGTCATTAAATTATTTTGATAAAATTACTGCAGTTTCAAATTTCAACTTTGAAACTGCACTCTAATTTCAATTTCATTTTTTGTGAGTACAGTATTTACAACATTGACTAACAG